CTGTGAATGTGTCTGTGGCATGGAACATAACATTGCGTGGTTAAAAATATGATTCAGCACAATAATGGGAGTCACATTATATTCTGGCATAATTTCCAAAATGAATCTAAAATTTAAATGAAGTTGTCCATGAGGTAAATTCAAGGCAAATTACAGATTTAATGTCACACTGAATTCTTTGTCCTTGTTGGTCTCTGAATCACACTTTGTTCCCTTTGATTCATTTTTATCAAGTTACTGCAGATGCATCGTGACCAAGCTCGGCACATGAACTCAGCTCATCCATGCGTTAATATTGTACACTCCATACTTTTCTAATGCAGCTAATGCTGCAATATTCAGCAGGGGCACACACTTTGATGTGTGGGTCAAATGCCTTTCCCTTATCTTTACTATATGTTGTGTTTTATCTGTGGCCAGAGGTATAACTGGCAATACGGCCATCCACTAGACACCAAAAGGCTACTGGTCTACTATTACTAGCTCAAATTCCTGGAACACAAAGCCGTGCTGGTTTACAACCCGTGTTTCAAGTGTAAATACACCACCACAATAAATAAGTGAAACTTGTAACAGTTGTATTTTTCCTTTCCTGTTTGGTAAATGGATAATGGTAAATGGACTCGTACTTGCGTATTTAGCGCCTTTCTTAGTCTTCCGACCCCACTCAAAGCGCTTTTACCACTACGCCGGCCACATTCAACATTTCACACACATTCACTCAGCGATGGCAAAGTCCATAATAGCAGAAACTAACTCATTCATACACATTTACACACCGATGCACAGCATCAGGAGCAATTTGAGGTTCAGTATGTTGCTCAAGGACACTTCAACATGTGGCGGGAGGAACCGGGAATCGAACCGACAACCTTCCGATTAGTAGACGACCCGCTCTGCCTCTGAGCCACAGCTTCATCACGTACTTCATTTTGTTGACAAGAAAAAGAAGTTCCTTCCAGAAAAAGAGTACATTTAAAGTTTTTAAATGTATCTCCAAATCTAATCTTCCTTTCCAAATAATATGTAACTGACTCGCAGGTCATGAGTAACTGCATACAAAGAACCATTTACATTCTTCTGGAAAAAGTAGACAAAAAATACATCCTCAAATACATATACAGTTTGTTTTGTAATCAAGACCGCTGTGAAATGCATTTGTTGGTTGACACAACAGCTGTCACTTTTAATCATAACAAAAAAAAGAGGTGCAGAAATGCAGGATGTATCACAAAAGCTGCTTTAAAAGTTTTTGGACAGGAAAGACTTTTCCTTGAGCAACCCGGGATTCTCCCCCACACAATGTGTCATCACAGCAGCCCACACTCCAGACCTGGAAAGAAGCCCACACTCCAGACCTGAGCGATTGTAGTAGCAAACCTTACAAGTTGCACGCAGTGATTCATCTTCTTTCATTAGAACAACACCCACATGCACAGTCATACCTCCACATGGTTCTATTAAAACCACTGAAATCTCACTGGTCCATTAAAGCTCTCACTTGTGAATTCAATAATTAGAAAAGGCTTTGGATTCATAAGAGCCTTGAAAACTGAAGGTTCCTGAAGTTTAATGGTTAAGATCCTCTTTCTCATCTCATCCAAAACACATTTTATATTAGCTCCGCAGTGACATCACCCTGGACTGTCCCTCTCAACTCAATATTATAATAATATTATCTGTTAAACAAACAAGCAGTTCACTTTGTGCTGCATGACTTTCATATATTAATGTACTTCTGAGATATATTGGTGCATGACTTTACACACAAGGACATAAATAGACCAATGAGCTTGGTGGGGGTGTGCTGTGTCTGTGGTGAGTCACTGCTGTCACGTCATTAAGGTAAAGCCCAGTAATAATATCACATCCACAGAAACCATTTCTTGTCACATGTGCTGTAATAAATAATGTATTAAGTAAATGTCAAACGTTAGATTTATTTAGATGATACAACACAAATTGAATCCTTTCTCACTGATGTATATTTTGTTTTAGTTAAGAAGTTAATAATCAACATTGATTTCTGTTGCATGTAGTATCAGTTACAGTGCAGACATACTATGAATTAACATTCTAGCATTGTATAAATAGTGACAACGCTGCTGTAAATCACAGAAGAATGTGATATTAAACTCACCATTGATTCTGTGGAGCTCATGGATGGTAGTGCAAACAGTCCAATGTCTCTCACAGCAACATAATACAGAGGACGGAGAGTTAATAGGCAATGTGTGGGTCCAAAAGTAATGTCAGCTGGTGTGTCAACCGCAGATGTGCACACCAATGAGAACAGGAATCCTTGCCTAAGGTTGCCACTTCAGAGGTCATCAGAGAGGGTGACTCTAATGTCAGACTAATGAATGAACACATTTGCGTATGAAGGTGTCTCCCAGGGAGCGCCTGCCAGGATGAATAGGAATACGACCCTCCTCACACTTCTTAGTATAGACTTTTACAAGTCTGCAATACTCCTCAACATGTCTGCTATTTGTCCTTGAGATGGAGAATGAAGTAAAATATTGAGAAATTGATGGAGGACAGAAAGACAAATGACAAATACGATGGAGTGAAGAGGCAAGCATACAAAGAGCGCAAGTGACAGGCAGGAAAGAATTAAATGAAGTGAGGTGAAATGAAAATTAATGCTGTGGCACGGCATGCCTTTTTATAGGGGCTATGGCCTGTGGTCATAATCATCACTTGGAAATAGCAGCCACCTGTTGGAGGTGGAGACTCTAGCATAACACAGAGTGGCTGGCAAGACTCTGATGGGAATTGGAAAAAAGCTTGATTTACACACCCTTTCAGTTTTTCACATATTGGTATATATATATTCTTCATTCTATTAAGATAGAAATAGCTAGCCCTAACCAAAATACCAGGGTTATATACAATATAAATGCATGTTGTCATTCCGATGGCAACTGTACAGTATGTATATATGTATTGTAGGCCCTTTCTATAAGAAAATCATTGTGTGGGACTAAACCAGTCATTTTAATTTTAACTAAAATGTGAGAATAAATGAATTGAATGGGCAGAAATTAAAAATGCACACATTAAAGAGGGGGGTCTGCCCAAAGTATCAAAATCTGGAAAAAAGCACCAAATCCATGCTGTAATGATTTAAAATCCCATAACAAAAAATTAACCAACACAACCAACACAATACTGCCCAATACACCTCATAACGTTACAGTACAAGAAACGAAAGGACGAAATCTGGAATAAAAACATCCAGAAAATATTAACAATAACAAATTATTCAAAAAAGGTCTCTGTCTAAAAAGGAATGCGCTGCATGGGATTTTACATGGCAACACAGTTCTGGAAAAGATGTTGCATAGCTCTACAGATTTTAAATATATACAAAAGAAAAAGCACAAGTCTACTTAGTGCGGCGTTACATAAAGAAGAAAGAAGTTATATTTGCTGAGGTAAGTCCATAAGGTGTTATCATATAATGATTAAAATTTAAGGGTGCTCCGATTATGGGCGAATATTCGCTCTAATTAGTTTGATGGCCGATCAGAAGAGCCAGATCAGCTGATTTATTTTATTCCATAGGAAGGTTATTCAGTCTTTGACACAGATAGATACACTGAGGTGGGCCGCCGGTAGGCTATATTAACAGTCAGGCACCCATTTTAGCATTTTGCAGAGAAACAGTTTAACAAACATGGAGCAGGTAAAGCAACAGTTTAGTTTCTCAACAGGCGATGTCATTAACGGGCCTCCTCGTTAATGTGTGGCTCACCTGCTGTTGTGAAAAAGGGAATCCTGGGTGAACACATTCAAAACATGAGTTGTGTTTCTTGGCCACTTTATAAAACTTACTGCTGACCAACAAATGAATGGAGCAGACACACAGCCTCAGAGAGAAGCGGGGTGGGGCAAGCTGGTGAGTGTGAGACAGAGGTGTAGGCGTGTGTGCGTGTGTGCATACACTATAAAAATAAGGTTTCAAATAGACCCAGTGATCAGTGATCAGTATCGGCCGATACTGCTGCTAGTGATCGGTGATTGGTGATTAACCTCAAAAGCCCTGATCGGAGCACCCTTACTATGACCTCTTGCAACTTGTTGTTCCTTTACTTATGCCAGTAACTCATTTTGATCTCACTTTTAAACATTTAAACAAACATTAAAATATAGTTCCTCAGAATGGCTGCCACTTCCGTTGCTAGGCAACATTTAAACAGTGGGGGGTTCACTAAGCTGGGCCAGGACTGGGTTGAACCAGCTCTGTAAGTTCTCTCCTAAGTTAGGGTGTAAAGTCGACACTAGAGGCTTAACTACCAGTTCGTTTGTAACTAAATCAGCTGCTAAAAGTGCGCCACGATTATTTGACATAACCTCACTAGTTTGGACGTAGAGTCATAACTAAGGTTCCATCATCATGGTTACCATGCGCATTGTCTTTCTGGCTGGCATGAGCTACTTGGCATTGTGGCACATTGTAGTAAGCTAGATT